GGATTTTACATCCAGTAAAGATGATCGATCATTTGAAAACAAAAATATTAGTTTCTTTGGCTAACGTCAATTATTTTGGTTTTTGGACTTGGACTACATTCGGTTGACATGAGAAATTAACAAAAATCTTCGAAATTTAAAATTGATTTTTTTTTTCTGACTATATGTATTGCATGTTTGAAAATCCGGGTGGTGACATTACGAACACTATCACTATATGTTATGGTCTGAAATCGGAAAGTTAATTCGATGAAAAAGAAACAACAATATAATCGAAAACTTAAAACCCAAAAAGTACAGCAAAATATAAAGCCTTAGTACATAGCGACTATTTCTTATAACCCATCATAGTCTTAAACTCCTCAAAGCTTACATAACCATCACCATCTACATCTACGGTTCGAACCATCTCAACGCAGCCCTCGACCGTACACTTCTCCCCGAGCCGAGTCATTTACCACATATAACTCATTCGCTGAAATTTTTCCATCGCGATCAATATCATATAGTTTAAATGCATCCTTCAACTCCTTCTCCACGACCGAGCGGTTTGGTCCATGCACGAAGCGAACTCAGCCACATCGACCTGACCATCACCGTTCGTGTCAAGCTGGTTGAACATATCGACAAATTTTTCTGAGGGGATGGTCGGAGATAGAGCATGAAACGCCTCACGAAACTCTTCCAATGAGATCTTACCGTCTTTGTTCTTGTCGAATTTCTCGAATATGTTGCTTGTAGACAGATTCATATCATATATTAATATGTTTTTCTTTCGTTGATTGTTTTTTCTGGAGCTTATGTGAAATGTGAACCATTGTATATATTTATAGGATTTGAAGTTGTTATGTTTCTAGGTATTTTATTTTTCACGTACGCGTTTTACAAATTTGTTTGATTGAATTTCTATGTGAAAACATTGAACGTGATTTAAAATATGTTAATATCTATCTTATTGGAAGAGAAAATAGATATCTCTGTTTTACATAAAAGAAATAAATCTATTTTCATAAAAAGAACATTAATCAATTATATAAATTTCCAAGAATGTGTGGATGTTATTCTAAAAATGGATTTGTTTCATCTTATTGATAGTACCATGTATCTCATTCTCACATAATCTATATCATACGCATTCAGTGTATATAGCATCTCGAGAAGCCAGGTTTCCAACAGTAACCAATCTGTATAGCACAAGAACCAAGAGAAGAATGTAATTGGTAGATAATCTTGTTATAAAACATCTTAGCAAATACTTCATCATATAGTAGATAATGTAATTGGTAAATAATCTTGTTCAAAGAGGAGAATGAGTAAATGAAAGACATACATTAGGCTTCGTTAATGCTGAGTCTTTTTTTGTTTGCTAATGTACTTGAGTCTAATCATCTCGGTTCTCCTTGTAGCTTCAGCTAATTCATTTGCTTCAAATGAGGAAAGTCTCAACATGTTTTCATCAAATCGACGCTTCTCCAAGTCGCTTTGTTGCTTTCCTATAGCAGGTTGCTTGATTTGGACAAAACTTGGAACATTAGTGCACATCTGTGGCCTACAACTAGTGTAGTCAGGTCCTGGGAGGATCTCCAATTGCCTTAGGTATCCAGCCTCTCCAATGATGTTAACCAATTGGCGATTACTGTCATCAAAACCAACGGCGACTTTCTTCTCCTCGTCAATGAAGAAACCCTCGCCTAAACATGGAACCATTATGTCAAATTCAGTTTTCACTCTCAAGAACTTGATCCACGACACCTCTTGGGCTTCATCAATCTTAGTTGTAATCCATATGTCAAGCTTATATGGATTTCCTTCGTCGTGCTTAAGTAAAACCGCAAGCTTCTCTTCTCTAACACAAGATAAAGTCACATAATCACCAACTCCAGCGCTGAACGGCAGAGGAATAAACGGTCCAAAACTCTCTTCTGTGAAATCAAAAGAGATTATGCGATCAACCTCGTCATCTAAGCTCCTTTGTTTAGCACACCAGTAAGTGTTTCCCTTGAGAGAAACGCCAAGGTTAGCAAAAGCTATACACCAGTTTGGAGTTACATCAAGAGTAGTCCATAAACCAGAGTCGAAATCGTAGATTTCATACCATAGAAATTGGTTTTCGGGTGCCTTGTACCAATAATCTATAAACCTCAAGAGTTTGAAGCTACGACAAGATTCCGTATCCGAGAGCGTAACTGAACCTGTCCCATCCTTTTGGGCGGTGAGAATATCTTGGTTCGATCCAAATTTCTTGTCCTAATGACGGATTCAAAACCAGAAACCTAGAATCATCTTTAAAGATGCATAACAACAAGCCCTCACAGTGAAAGACTTGAGTTATCTTGACTTGTTCTTCAAGGCAACTAAGTTTATCTTTAAGCTCGATAGATGGATCAACGTGGTCGACGACGACGCTCATCGAATAAAGATTGTAATTCATTATTGCGATCAACATAGACTCACCTTCTCTTGTTGCTGCTGGTTTAGCCATCATGAAGATCCCAGTTTTTGATAACTCGTTCCACTTTTTGCAAGTTGATCGAACTGTTCTGATAGATTTCAAAGGAACCCTAGATAAAATCTCCTTTACCAAATTCCTTGGAAGATTGGAAATCTTTATCGCCATTGTTTTAATTTGCAACA